ATAAAAAACCAATGATGGTGATTCGTAAAGATACGCATCAATGTGTCGAGAAGAAAGAAACGCATCTCGATATTAAGAATAAAGTAAACTTTTTGCGATAATTATATTTATGTAAAACTACACTAAAGAAACTATAAGCCGCTAATTAAAATAATGTATAGATTCAATGCATAGTTTAACATTTGCATCAAAATAATACAATTTACAATTTTAAAATATTGCAAAAATTTCAATAGTTACAAATGTGTTAAAAATTTTTAAGTAATGCACACGCGAGAAAGAGATGCGGAAATAAAAACCATGTTCCGTTTCTCTGATAACGTGCGTTTAATATCTTTCGAAAACAGAGAAGGTTATCAACGCACTATATGAAAAAGAAGACTTACCGTGAGATGTTGAAAAAGCCACGCCCTGAGGATGTTCGTCGCAACTTTAGGAAAGATACCTCGTTTCTTTTGGTTTTTCTTTCCCGACGAATCGTCATCTTCCTCACCCGTACCTTCGCCGCTACCGATACTCGCGTTACTCGCGTCACCTGCAACAATAAGGAGAGAGCCAAGGTCATCACGCGGCGCCTCGGTAATTAATGGCGGCAACTCCTGATCTTTTATTGTATATTTATTTGTTGACAACAGACCAAATTATCACATGTTTCTAAGATTATTATATTGTAACGTCATTTCCATAATAAAGCTTTTTGTATTATAATATTAATAAAATATTAGATTTTAAATCAATTTCTCTCATGATTGTTTCAAGTATGATAAATAATGAGAAATCAATTTTGGTTTACAATTAAATCGCAAGACGCTTTGCATGTCGAAGAAAAATTTTCGACGCATTTAAATCACGCTTCGATTTTCGGTCCATACCCTGGTGGGCGATAACTACCTCGACCCTAGGGCTAGTTCCCATGCATACAAACACCATTAAGCCACCCGCAATCACCCAGCCCCCTTCGACCCGGCGAACCCCGAACACACGCTTCGTTCTCGGCTCAACCACGTACCCCTGCCTCTTTTTCACCCCACCTTGCCATTACCTACGTGCATTAATTCCCCGTCATTTATCAATCTTAGCTTTTTAATTGCACAGTCACTAGGGATTCAAAACGTGGGACAATAATGAGAGATATTAAGACGCTTATGGTTATGTTCTTCAGAAGCTTTGAAGTCATATTTTCCTATTATCAAACGTGATTCGAGTAATTCATTACCGCATATGCCATAAGAAATACCTAGTTTTACTTTTTTAATTATCGTATATCATAAAACATATTACATTTTCAAATATATTGATTTTTAATATATTTCGATATATCATCAAAAATTAGGCACACTTTGTAATGGTAAATTTTTGTGTCGCAAAATGCATTGATTACAGAAGTTGTGATAATATGATAATGTGATGAAAATGACATTATCACTCCACTATGATGTAAGTTTAGACGTGATTATGGAATAAAATTTCGCTGGAATTCCCGTGAATGTCCCAGCGAATCAAACTCT